TATGGTTGGAGAATTATTTCCTTCTGAATAGAAATTGCGAGGTAAAAGTTAGAACACAATAGGCATGCGGTTAACTTACATACCAGGCAATATAAGCGCATATGTATGTTAGTAGAAATACAACACTAGGTGCATCGCGTATAAGGCCCCTGTATAGGCTTGTTGTGTTCTCATATGTGTGAACAATTCTCCTGATCGTAACGTAATCGGACGGCGCATCGCCATCCTAAATCTTCTTTCATCATGTATCCAATAAAAAGTGGTCTGAGTATTTTAGTAGCTCTTGGATTATTGCATTTTTAGATTGGTATGGTTGGAGAATTATTTCCTTGTGAATAGAAATTTTAAGGTAAAAGTTAGAATATAATGGGCATGTGGTTATTTTACATACCGGGCAATGTATGCGCATATGTATGGTTGTAGAAATACAATAATAGGCGCATTGTGTATAGGGCCCCTGTATAGGCTTGTTGTGTTCTCATATGTGTGAACAATTCTCTTGGTCGTCACGTAATCGGACGACGTATCGCCATCCTAAATCTTCTTTCATTATGTATCCAATTTCATCGGCTGGTAGATTTTCTAGGGCTTGTCTGACATGAGTTAGAGTGTTAACTCCTTCGGAGATGCTACATATTGCATCTGACTGTTCTTCATCCAAATCGACGGAAAGAACGTCATAATCATCAAGAAGGTCTATATTATTTAATATGGCAACCCTGACCATATTTCTTCGTTTGCTTTTGCATTCTCGAGCAAAGTGACCTTCTTCACCACAGATGTAACATCGGCATTTGGTAGACCTTAGTTTGTTCTTATTCTTGATTACCCGCACGTGGGTGTCATGTGTTTTTCCTTTGTAATTACGTGATTTGCATAGGTCATATTTCTTCTAGTTGTTGTAGTAACTAGGTATGGGAATCTTTCTACAGATAGAAAGATCTTTAATTCCTCGTTGGATAGCCGCCTTCTTACATAAATCAGCCAAGTATTGATATGTGAAGTATATTCGTGGGAGAACAACAATGGTGTTCCCTGGGTACTTAAGCTTAAAGGATTCTTCAATTTCATAACCCAGTATAGGGGGCATCTTCTTGAAAAATTTTATCAGATAATTCAGGTTTAATGTACATACGACCGGATTTCACAGCTAGCACCTTGTAGTCGTTCATGTAATCAAACATGATCTTTATTTGGTCACATGACAGCCATTCTAAATCGAGATATGCTCGATTTTGTTCCTCTGTAGATCCTTGATATGGATCCTCAAGTAGAATTATTCTGTGTATTTGAGAAAGAACATTTTGTGGATCATCAGCAATGTTTACAAGGGCTTCGTATTTAGCTTCTTATGTCATTTTCCATTGTATCCATATCTTCTTTTTGACTTCTCCGAGTAGGTTCTCAATGAACAAGAACTTAGCCTTGTTATCTTGAAATTGTTTGTCGTTGAAGAGATTTAAAGTTATAGACTCCCATCGAGAAATCACGTCGTTGTATAAGGAGAAATCATCGAGGAGGATTAGTAAGACATCTTGAGTATTATGGGCGGAAGGGAGTGTCCACATGTTTTGCTGGTAGGTGCGTTTGAAATTCGAGGCTTTGGAACGAAAGTTTTGAAAAGAATGCGAGGATGATGGTCCTGCTTGCAAACCAGTTGTAGCTGGAGGATCCATAATAGAACCCATGACAGGTTCATTGGGGGGTAAATAGGAGGAAGAAACAGAGGCATAGAGGCCATTGGCTTTTTCGGCAATTTTTCGAAGTTTGGAGTAATCTAGATCAGCGAGCTGATCTTCAATAGTGGTGTAACAAAATTGAGGTGGGAAAATGTTGGGATTGGGATATGGTAACAAGGGATAATCTATAGGGGAATCAGAAAGCTCCCCACCACCTTCCGGGGAAACTGAAGAAGTTTCATTATTGTAGGCATTGAAGTAGAAGAATAACAAGAAGTCGTCATCATTATCGAGCGCAGAGGCTTCTGAGGCCGAATCATCCCGAATAGGGCCATCATCATCATCATCAGAGTAGGCCAAATTGAGGAAATGTTCTTTATCAGGGTCAGGAATTTCAGTATCATTAGGAGAATGATATGGGAGTGGAGGTGGTTGATTAGGTGTGTAACCAGAAAAGGAAAGACGGAGAGAACCATCGATCCGTTGTTGGGTGTGTAAGGTTTGAGGAATTTGGAGATTTGGGTGATTCGAAGGTTTAAGATTCCAAGTTAATCCTTGCAACTGAGCAATATTGTGTCTTTCCCCTGATATTGATGTAATACCGTGAGATGTTAAATAATCTGCAATTCCTGCAACATTATAATGAAACCCAGTGTGACTGGTGTTCGTTAATCATGCCACCAGTGCTCGGGTGATCAGAAGATTAGATTCTCCTCCCTATCAAATGCTCATAGCCATGCGTCATGACTAGGGCTGTCAAAAAAGCTCGTTGTTCGCGAACAGTTCGTGTTCGGTTCGTCAATGAGTTCGTGTTCGATTCGTTCGATAAGTAAACGAGACAAACGCGAACAAATTTTTTTCGTTCGGTTAGTTAAACGAACCAAACACGAACAGTGATACGTTCGTTCGTGTTCGAATCGTTATTGTTTAAAATATAAAATAATATAAAATAATTATATATAAAAAATTTATTATATTTTAAAACATTAAATTTTATAAATTATAATATATAATAAAATAATAATAATAATATATTAATATACTATAGTAGTAATATACTAATATAGATATTGTATATTTATATAATATAAGTTATATAATTAATATATAATATTATTTTTATATATTAATATTAGGGATGTCAAACTGACTCGTCGTTCGCGAACAGCTCGTGTTCGGTTCGTGTTCGGTTCGTTCGTTAAGAAACGAACACGAGCTTATTTCAAACAAACTAAATTTTAAACGAACCAAACACGAACACAAGCTTTGTTCGTTCGTGTTCGGTTCGTTTACACCCCTAGTCATGACTACTAATTCAATATGGTGTAGAAAATCATGAATGGATGTCATTAGATTAGGAGTAATATACATCAATTGTGTGCCAGAAGATAAATCAATTTCCATGGTGCCAATTATGGAAACATCAGAACGCCAACGAGTATCCTGCAGTACAATAAGGGCAATAGTACCTGCGTCCCTGCGATGTAAGGTGTGTATGCGGACCATAATATGTCCTAGGTGGATGTGTTGCATGCCTTCGCGTACTAGTTGTTGATAAAATTGTTGTCGCATGAAAGGCAAGTTGACATGCATTCCTTCAGTTACAAGGATGCGTACTTCATAGTAATGCTGGTAGACGCGATGTCTAGTAGCAGACCACCCGTCTTCATAAATAGTTTCAGCAGGCATAAGATTTGCTCTCCTTCGCGGAGATATTTGGAGTTCAGCTTCTAGATCAATTTGACTTTCAAGACTGGTGATAGGCTGGTCGCCTAGGTAAGTGTCGCTGTAATTCGTAAGCGACCCGAGACCTTATTTGATATCCGCGAATTTGGTCATCAATAGTAGGGTTAGAGATAGTGGTTGAACTACGAACTGATGGATTGGGTTGAATTTTAGTGAAGGTACGGGACGTAGAGGCCATTTATACAAGTTTTTGTTTTTCACTTTGGAAGAACAATTCAAAATACATCCATACACATACATCCATCCATCCATCCATCCTCCATGCACATACATGCATCCATCCATCCATCCATCCATCCATCCATCCATCCATCCATCCATCCATCCATAGATATATATATATATATATATATATATATATATATATATAGTGTGTGTGTGGATCATCTGAAGAATAGAACCACTGATCTTAATCGAGAGTTTTCTTAAGTGACTATGGTCGTTTAAGATGTAATTAATTATAGTGATTTTCTTCTATAGGAAACTAAGAACACAGATAAAATAAACTCTATCGAATCCTTATATTAGGTAAGGGAATTTGTCAGCCATACATAAAAGGTTTCGCAGGTCAAACGAATCTCACAAAATTCTTTGGTTTGGGTGGTTGAGCCTACTACAAGTGATATATTTATTCTTCGGGATAGTTTATTACTTGTGGTATCGCGTTCAGCCATCCAAACTATCAAATATGTGAGACTCATTTGGTCTCATATATTTTCAAAATTAAAATATTATTTTTAAAATCAAAATAACCTATATATATTAAAATTATTTTCATATTTAATATATTTTCAATTCTTCGGCCGATAAGCGTCACGTGTCAAGGGGACCCCCACTAATTTTAACATTAACTAATCTCAGTGTATTACGATGGGCTCACTTGACACGTGACACCCCAACATTGGACACCGGACACAAATTACGTCTGAAGTCATGATGTAATATTTTCTCCACCAACCGACCCTGAACACATCTTCTGCCAAAGCAACGCCCGCAGCTAACCAACCCTTGAAGCAAACTATCTCTATTTAGTTTACCGACACATCTAATCGCGACAGTGTCGTCCACTTCCAAACCATAAAATGAATTAACTAATGAGATATTTAATAAAAAATGAAAATAACATATCTTTTAGGTGCAAATATTATTTTATTCACATCAAAATATAAAAAAAGTAAAATTATTCCTAAATGTACCCGTAGTTGGCCACTATAGAATGCAAGGCAAACGACAATCCTATATTTGTGATTTGTGAATTCCTATGAGAGAAGTATCGTAATGAGTCATTTTAATTCCAAAATATATAAAAATGCCAATTTAATCTCCATATTATAAATATGCACTAAAATAGTCCCACGAGAGAGCTAAAACTATTTTAGCCCAAATTAAAAGAATCTGACTACTAATTGGACACTTTTATAGCTCACAAACCAATTCATGCATCAAGTTTAACCCATTTTTGCAAAATACAGTCACATCAGTATCTAAATTGATGTCTTATTCCGTATAAATCAATCTTAGTTAACTTTTGCTAAACAATAAAAATAACAGTAAATTGAATAAACACGTCCTAGGTTTAACTGTATTGAGTACAATATCGAAAACACTTCGTCTCAAATAAGTGGACGAAACCACCTCTTAGGTGGGGATAAGCTAATTCAATAGAAAAAGAAGCAAGAAAAAAAATGATGTGTCTGTGTTTGTGTGCGTGTGTAAAATGGAAAAATATGGCAGAAGAATATTACCCATGAGTAAAAAAAATATGCAAAACCCTAATCAAGGAAAGGTAGGGGGCAGCACCCTAAAGGTCAAGCAATGTTAAATACCTTTCCTGTATAGTATTTGAATGCGTTTTATACAAAACCTATATGAGAAATACACTGAAGGCAGCGGCCACAGCCACACACATTCACATACCTTTAAAAAAGTTGATGAGCAATGATTTACCACTTGCTAGATCGTTGCAGATTACCAGAAGTTGGCGAGCCATGATTGACTATCAGGTATGTGGTTCCAGATTATGATGCATTGCACCTGCCATCCCTTTAAGCCAATCAGCAATGGTTCTAGCTAGAACCCTAACTTCAATAAGAGACAGGGACTTCAAGCTCTGAGCAAGAGCATCAGCTGGCGTGTAATGGTATCCCGCTTGCCATTTAATATCCTATTCAGATGAGGAGACTTCAGATCTCTAAATAACTTGCAGAAAGAAATGTCACAAAAGTTGGACGAAATTTAAACAACATTCAAGAAACTGGAAATCAAATAGCTGAAGGCTAATCCAAGTGTTAAAAATTGCATGAACCTTTAAACTTGTTTTAAGAAAAAAGTATCGCATTTATGGCATATTAGTTTCAGTCAAAAAATAGATTTGTGAAGAGTAAGTGCACAGCATTATGTTCCCATTGAGCAGAAAAATGATACCTGTATGCATGGGGTAAGATGATTTCCAGATAAAGTGATCTTTTCTACAGTCCCGCCGAAATCTTCAACACGAGGCTTCAAGATCTCCTCCAGAACGTCACTTTCATCAAAGGCATCAATATTGAACTTGACCTGAAATGGACTTCCTGCATTGTAATGACAAGAAAAACAGGCATTCAAGTTTATTTGACCGAATCACCTACCAGCAGGGTGTGGGGTACCCGGTAGGACTTCTTGAAAAATTCACGGTTCTCAAGGGGTGTAGGTCTGAATTCTGATATGCCTTCATTTACCTGGCAATATTAAGTTCTTTTAAATGATTCATAATAAAACAAAAATAAAATAATATTTTTCATATAAATGAGCATCAAGGTAATTCAATTCAAGAGGTATGAATATCTTCGATCAGACTTGTCCAATTACTGATGGTAGCTGATCAGCAAATTTTGTAAGAGATAGCATGATTTCCTGGTCCAATTCCTGTACAAATGGTCCCGCACCATCCAGTAGGGCTTTCCAAACATCTCCTATGAAATCAAGTATGACAATTGAATCAGAAGAGCATTAGATATTCTTTATTAGCATGAAATGCCTGTGTTAGCTTCAAATTATATTCCAGATGAATAATGAAAGGATGGGAAATCTTGGGGGATCCGCCAAATGTGAACCCCTAAGTTGACCTAATTAATCATACTTAACGAACCATAATAATCAATTATTTATGTGATTATGACGAATTTTTTTCTTAATAATTCTTGCGCAAAAATTTGTTATTTAAGTATAAATAACTGAATATTATGCATCACAATACAAATTCGTAATGTCTAAACCTGAAAAATGTGCAATATTAACTATGAAAAGTCATAAAAAAAAACAAAAAAACCAAGTTCAAGATGACAACTACCTTATATGCATATACAAGCACATTCATCTAGTCAGATAGCTAAGCTTAGCAAATCTACAATCTTGAATCAATTAACCAACTTACTCCATAAGGCTAAAGTTGCCCAAAGTCTTAAGTCGACAAAAATTCACATTTTGTCTAGTTCCCGTCCCTACCCTTCAATATATCAGACTCACTGATTCACAAAAAAAAAAAAAAATTAAAAGATCTTAGCTAACTAGTTCAAACGTACTAAACACTTTAAGAGAATTCATCTCATAGAGATTGCATCAAAGTTAAAACCCAATAGAAGTCACCAAACTCTTAGATAGTTATCAATCAACCAAACTTGTCTACGTGCCTACTTCAAAACATGCTTCACTGAGTTACTTTATGTAAACTTTTTTAAGCATCCTAATTGCAGATGTTAAAGCTTAACCTGAACCAATAAATAAGAGGTTAGATGATAAACTTAGCACATGGTCATGTCACATCACTCTTATATTTTCTAACAATAAAATTTAAAAACAAAAATTCACTTTAGATTTCCCTCTCTATTCTCTCTTTTAGGCTTAAACCATACTAACTAATAAAGGTAGCGTCAAATTCAGAGAAATTTGGATTTAATATCCTAAAAACTGTAGTGAGGGCAGAAGATGTCAAGAACAAAAAGGTCAAGCCATTAAAAGCCCATATGAAAGAGTGAGGTTGCACAAATCAAACAGCAAGATTATGTAGCTTCCGAGCAGCTCAATCAAATGGAAGATCAAAGATGATCCAAGGACTAATCGATCAATTTTTTGTCAAATCTGTCAGCTCTCTGATTCGCAGACATCAACCTAACCTAGAAGCCATTATCTCCATTCTACGTATTGAAAAAATTCTCAAAAAAAATTACTGCCAAAACACCTATTCCTTGCCATGAAGTGCTGACCTTACCCAACCAATGAATTTTACGTGTAATTCGAAGAGATGCAGCCACCTCCCATGTTTAAAATACATCATTTTGATTCATAAAAAGAAATGTTAGATTCAGCCAACCTTATTGCTGAAGTAGATAATTGTTCGCAGCATTTGTGATATGCTCAAATGTCAAAAATTCTTCACTATTTTTAAGAAGGCACCGCTACGATGGTTTTCTCATCTCCCTCTTGGGAGTTTCTCATCATTCTCCGACTTCAATAAATATTTTATGGACTGATTTTCTAAGGCCCAAAAATCATTAAAAATTTCACAATCTCTTCTAAACATGAGACAAAAGCCGGTCAAGTTAATTTGAAAATTCATATATCTTTTGCAAAGCAAAATGCTGGAAATCTATAACTTAAAGCTGCTAGTGGATCAAATTGCATTGATACAGAATTGTCAAATCCAACATAATAAAAATGTGTACCTAATGTAAAACTGTACAAAGATAAACCTGACTACTCACTCTGATACCCGTTGTCTTTACCTAGAAGATAACAACAAAGAATGAGCAACAATGAGCTCAGATAAATAAGTAGGGCTGACATAAAATTTTATACATGAAAAAGAAACATGCATTCATGTATGAAACTATACATATATACACACAAATCATAACACGCTACCATAATAAAGAACCTGACTACTCGCCCCGGTGCTCGTTGCTCTTACCTAGAGGCAACAACATAGAGTGAGCAACAACAAATTCAGAGAAATAATTAAGGCTAAAATATGATTTTGTACACATAAAATAATGTGCATGCTCATATGCCATTACACATCCATACACAAATCACAACTTGTTAGAATCATAGATAACATGAAAATAAAAGTAGGTGGTGTAAAAATCAGGACTACTATATAATTATACATGACAAATATGAAATCATAAGTATAGTCAAAAGCATGTTCGTAAACTGTTTATCGTATGTAATCATAACAATATCATTTCATATGTATTATTTCATAATAATGTCACTTGTAAATTTATAAGTTTCAACTATTCTGTCCCGTCATCATGAGTCGTTATCCTACCCCAAAGGCCATATAAATTATCGATAAAGATTGGGTTTCCCCCACCATAACAGTTATCAATAGCCCCCTGATACTCATGGTTCTCTAACATTTTGTCATCGCATAATCTCAACAGTTCCCAAAGTTTTTTCCTTGCATAAATGATGAGTCAGGAATGCATTCCTACATAATATGATTGCAAGCACTCATGTAATAGTCTACCCATAACATTCCTTGCGACATTTTCATTACTCGATCAAGCATTTATAAAGCACTACATGAATCATAAGGATGGAGCATAATAAATAAATACTCGCAAGAGATTCATATCATAAACATAATCATATATAGCCATAAGCTGATTATAGCATTATATGTATCATAAGAAAAGTAAACGTGTTGCAGATATCCATTCAAAATATGCCAAAAATTCTAAATGCATCTGCATCAAGATAGAAATCATATGAAAACCTATAGAAGATTATTTTTTTTCAAATTAGCACAAGATTATTTCACCTGACTTGACGGAACAGCCCTACAATAAGTGCCCACACGCTCGTCTCAAGCTCGTCGATTCGGACAGACAACCTGAGGCTCATATACAGCATAAGAATTCATAAAATTTGGTTTATAGCATGCATTAACTCAATAATATAATTTAATTGTCAAAACATACCTCAAAAGAGCTTTTCGGCATAAATCCGTCTTTCTAAAATCACCAATTTCACTCTCTCCTTCCTATCTTCTCAAACCTTCTCACTGATTTCCTGAAAAAATATTTTTAGAAGCTTGCAAAATTAATTACGACACTTCTAACACAATCGACGCCTCCAACCGCTGTTAGAAACGAGAATAGCATGAAAAACAAAATAAAAGTCAAAATTGAAGTGAGAGAAAGGAAATGAAAGTCTCAATTAGCATGAGAGAGGATTCGTGCTTACAAAAATCTCCCCGAAACCCTGAATTGTGCTCTGCGGCACCCAAGCGGAAGCTCACCCCATATTGTTTGCAACCTAGCTGCAGTAGTCGATCGCGGGAGCTTCCCTGGTGCGAGAAACCGAGTGTAGGGAGAGTGCAAAGGGATGCGACACGAACATCCTAAGAAATTCCTAGTCGTTCACTATCATCCAATCGACGCATTATCGAGTAAGTGCGAGAAGAGTCGGTGGCTACAGTCCAGATGCGGAAGATTAGGGGAAAATTAGGATAATAATTTAGATAATTATACTTATAACTTCAAAATTAAATATCAACCAAATCGTTCATAATTTACAAACAGTTTTTATATTGAATTGATCCATTTCATGCATAGAATGTTACAAAATTGCTTCAAACAAATTTTGAGATGTACGAAATTTGAGGTTCTCCTGAAATATGTCAAATTTTACCTGTTTCTTGAAATTTGAGCATTGTAGCTTTCCCCTCATAAAAACTTCATCCTCAAAATATTTGACTTTACTTAAAGAGAAATGTTCATCTTTTTCCCGAGTAGATTCCTTTTTAGGTTTGTGCTTTCACTTTATCTTCACAAAAGAAATGTCTGTTTTTGAGTTTCTTAATATTAGTTGCTAAAATCTTTTTAGGCTCGTCAATATATATTAGGTTTTTCTGTACTTCAATATCTTCATTTCAAATTATCTGCTCTGAAATTGAACCACATTTCCTTAACATTGAAATGTGAAACACATCGTGTATATCTGACATATCTGCATGTAACACTAATATGTAGGGGACTGGACGGATCCTTTATATAACTGTAAGAAAACCAATATACTTGGGACTCAGCTTGCTTCCTCAACCAAATTTGGTTGTACCTTTCATTGGCCTGACTTTCAAAAACATGAAATTTTCAACTTCAAATTTGATTGTTTTGTGCTTTGGGTAGTAGTATTTCTATTGTTGATCCTGAGCAGCTTTCATTATGTTTCTAATTAATTTAATTTTCTCAGTAGCTTCATCAACTAGTTCAGAACCTAACATTTGGCGTTCCCCTACTTCGACCCAACTAAGGTTCTGCACTTTCTGCTATACAGTGCTTCATAAGGAGCCATTTTGAATTAGACTGATGGTTATTGTTGTAATTGAACTCGATCATTGGAATGTGATCTTCCCAACTGCCTCTAAAGTTGAGAGCACCAAGCCTTAAAAGATCTTCCAATACTTGAATTAACATTTCTGATTCTTCGTTGGTTTGTGTATGAAATGTGGTGTTGAAATGTAACTACAAACCCAAACCTTACTGAATGTCTTTCCACAATCTAAAAGTGAATCTTTCATCTCTGTCAGGAACAATAAATTTTGGAATCTCGTGCAATATGATCATTTCATCGACAAACAATCTAGCCAACTTTTCTACTGAATATGTTGTCAAATTGGCAAGAAATGAGCTGACTTTGTTAGTCTATCAATAATGACCCAAATACTGTCGTGGTTGTGTCTAGATTGAGGAAATCCACAAAATCCATGACAATTTTTCTCATTTTCATTCAGATATTGACAATGATTGTAACAATCCGTTGGCTCTCTGATGCTTAGCCTTTACAAACTGACATGCTTGAATTGAGATACATATTCAGTAATATACCTCTTATATTTGGCCACCAGAATGCTAACTTCAAATCCCTATAAATTTTTGTGTTGCCTAGATTAATTTTATACCCTGAA